TTGTTATCAGGCACTCATCTACAGGTGTACCTTTATCAAATTTCCTTGGGGCATTTATCTAAGCAACTCAACTTGAAAAGACTCATAGAATGGGTATTTCATTAGCAATTAATGGCTTTTAGGTTTCATTAATTACCTGTTTTGTGTCTAGTACAAGTTACTGCACTAGGAGACTGGGATTTTAGAACTGTAGGAATTATTTTCCTCCTGCAGTTTTGCTTCTAGCTGCCTGGCCAGCATATGTATGCAACTGTGCAAATACATGTTACTTGAGGGTGGCAAGTGGCGTGACGCTTAATCTGTCAGGACGGCAAATAGCTGTACATAATTTCTTTTTCTGAAAATCTATTTGTACCATTTTTACAAAGCAGATTTTTAAGACTTACTGTATTTTCTCCCTCTAAGCAAATTTTTAATTGCTATTTTCTCGCCACTTTTTATATTCTAAAATAAATGTTTTTCTGTGGTTCTGTAAAGACCTGATTATATACTGTTTCTCCATATTGCTTCATGATAAATATGATTTTCTTTTCTACTTTTATAGAGGATTGGAAAAAATTTGGCATAAAATATGGGGTTTAGCCTTTCAGCAGCTATGGTGTGTTTTTCTGCAGCTTTGACATAATTTAGAATCTACTTATTTTTTTGACTGTGAATTTAAAACCTAGAATGTCTGTTTCTTATATGTAGCTAGTAAAAATAAGCGTGTTTTTTTCAAGTCAGAGATGATTCATTTTCTGATTTCCCTGTTCAATTTTTCTCTAAAGCAGCTTGGTCTTTAAAAGCGTCTCAATTTTTTTGACACAATTGCAGATTGCAGTTAAGAAGTATTTTCATTTTAAAAATGAAATTGATTATATTATTGCATTTAGTAAGAGAGGCTTCATTATGCATTTTTGGCAAGGTTTTCCTTTTCCTTTTATTCACTCTCTCTGATATTTCTCTTAATTATACAGACTTCAATACAGATCTAGTTTTGCATGACAGAGAATAATAGATTTTGTCAGGACATAAGACTTTGTTCAGAATTAGTAACTTTACAGTTGAAACAATGTTGAACTTGTTTATTCTACTCTATTTATAGGAGACATTCAAGTTTTATGTGGAAAAATGGAGGAACAGAAGACTGGAAGCATCGTGAACAGACGGTTTTATGATTTAGTTGTTTATGAAATTGTTTAAATATTACATTCAATAAAAAAATTAAAAAGCATGTTGTCATGTGTAATTTTTAATTTAAGTCTGTGACTAACAGCACTTTCCATAACTGCAATTGATAGAAACATTCACTAATAGAAATGCTGTTAAAATTGCTGATGTAATATCAAGATGCAGCCTTCTAGGATGTATGATCTGCTATAACTTCTGCTGTCTTTCTGCTTGTGTTGATTTGTCCAATGTGTGTATATCGAGAAGGTTGCTGGAGGGCTGTGTAACTGTAAATGAAGCAGACTGTCCTATCCTTTGTTGTTCTTTGCCTGGTCAATGTACTTTGGGTGAAACTATAAGGGTAAGGCACGTCATCTTCAGGATTCAGCTGTATCTACGTAAAAAATAAATATGTTTTTATAAGTTTTCTCCCAGTTGTACTTTCTTGTGTTAAGTATCTTGTTATGGTGTTTGATATTACATGGAAGGAGACACAGCCTCTTACACTGGCTTGTGTGTTGTAGTTCTATAGCATCTTCAATTCATTCTCATAACTGTTGGTCCAGCTAATTTTATGGGTACAAGAACTGTGTATCCATGCAAACATGCCCTTTAAACAAAGCAGTGCCCATTATTTGCAGAGTATCAGTTTTTACTTGCTGGGAGACTGGTAGGCACGCTTCACTTGTAGGAAGATGGGAGTAAAGTTACTCTGATGTGATGTTTTACAGTCCAGAGTTGTGTGGCCGTGAAAGTAAGATGTATATAAATTACAAAGATGAAACAATAAATAGAAAATACAGCCATTATCTCTGTGAATAATGGTGGAAACTCTCATGTGCACTGTGGTATAAGTAATGGAACACATTGCCTATGCAGTACTTTCAACAGGTTTTAATGAAATGAAAGCTTGTTTCTGTGCATCTCGTAACTTTTTTTATTAATCCTTACATTTTCAACCTTAGCTTAACCTTAATTTTTTTAGGTTTTCCCACATAGGCAAAATTGTGGTCATTAAAAATTCCTGTGCGCACACAAGGTTTTGGCAAAATTTAGCAAGACTCCTGCAGTAATCTGAATGTGTCAAAAGTAAAAAAAAAAAATTGGGACCTAATTTTTTTAAAAGTGAAATTTAAAATTTAATTAACTATTATATTGAAAAGCACACAGAAAAAAACCCCTGCTGTACTTTAAGAAATGAGACTTGACAAATCAGGAGTGGGGAGAATGGTAAGTTTTGTGTTCCAGGCAACCAGGATGAGCGCTAGCAGTGCCTGCTCCATCGGTGGTGTGGTTTTACAGTGACCTTCATCACTTCACAAGCACAGCTCAACAACATACGGCAGCTACGTGGCTCTAACCGCCTGGCACCCTTTGTTCCTGGCTTGTCAAGATAAGGCATTAACATTTGAAATTTCATTCATAGCCTAATGGTTGTGTGCCCTATCAGAAAGCAAGCCTGGGCAGGACTCAGTTTATTTCATTTCACAAATGGAGATGGTTCTTTTTTCTAAAGCTGCAGCTACATTACATGTGTTTCAGTGTAATAGCAGCATAATTGAAGACTGTGTCAACTAGTTGGCAACCCTTTCTCTAGTGCCACAGCTCTTGTTTTTAGAGGTCATCTCGTGAATCCCTCCGTTTCACGTGTTCCTGTAAATGGAGTCACAGCTGAATGCAACTGGAGGTAACGGGCATGTGTGCTGCTGGAGCTGAACTAGCACAGGGGATAAGGAAGAGAATATTACTTGGAACAAACACCAGGTCATCACAGAGGAAGTTAACAGCAGATCTGTGGATCTTAACTCCCATTTTGGCAAGGAGTTAAGTTAAGTTTGCCACTCATGTGGCAGTGGATCAGGCACTGCACTCGTCAGTAGCCTGTGCTGTGACATCGACAGGTCATGTTTGCTGGCTGCTGCCCTCAGAGATAAAAAAGCAGCACACAAGGCTGCTGCCGGATGCATGGCTGTGTGTTGCCAGTGCCCATGATGGGGTCTGACTGCAGGATTGGTGTGAGTTAGCATTTGCCTTTTCTTTCTGGCTGGTTTCACTCGAATTCTACCAGAATCATGCCCTATAACTGAATCGTTGAAGTTGTGGAAATAGAAAGTAAATTTGATAGCCTGTAACTGAAAAATATAAATGACATTTTTTCAGCTCCAAAATTGCCATTTGAGTGTCCTCGTGGAAAGTTGTGGGCTGAGTGTGCCAGCTGCTGAGCTGGTTAAATGTCAGTGAGGTGCTGCAGGAGCATGAGACCGAACAGAACCAGGGTTTCATGGCAGCAATGACAGGGTAATAGGCAAAAGGACAAGCTGATCATTTGGGATCACATGGGAATTGCCCGGACCCATGCAGCTCTGTAGTATAAATGGGAAGGCAGAGATAATTCAAAGGATGGGCTGCTGTTGTGTGATACTACTTCTGATTCCCTGTTGGAGTAAATGTTTCATGTGCAGTTAAGGGATGATTACGCAGAGGAGTGCAGTCTCTCCTGTCTTTAAAATGTGGGCCAGTGAGGGATTTGTGCCACTCTGGGACACAATCATCTCAGTCTGAAACAAGGTTATACCGGGAAGGTTTTGCGGAATCGGCATTTGTGCCAACTCTTCAAGAACACGCTTGAAGTGATAATATTTCTTGTGCATTGGTGTGCTGAGACTCAGCCATTTCAAGCATGAAGAAAAGTGCAGTTTAGAAGGTTGGCATTTATTCACCAAATAAGTAGGCGGTTTCATTATTTCTTCATACTCAAAGAGAGAAACCTGCAACGTGACAAAATGGGGAATGGCAGCCTTGCGAACTTGTCATGGTGATTTACTGGTCCAGATACCAAACGTACTCTGTCACACTGACCATAGCATGCACCCCTCTAAAGCAGAATAGAATTATTTGCCACTGGCTAGTGGATAACTGGGATTGTGCGAGATCCAGACCAGGTGCGGTGTCTGAGATAGGAGCTTGCCTTTCCAGAGGCCTCCGTGGGAAGCTGAGGGCCTGCTGACATGAAATGACCTGACATGTTACTGTAGAAAGCAAATTGTGGGAGTGTGTGTGTGTTTGCATAATCATGTGTCTTGATTGGGCTTGAGAGGACTGGGAAAAGCTTGCTGCTTGGATTGAGATGACTTAATCCCACTTCTGTGCCCTGCGCCACGTTATGGACTTGCCTCTTCCCCCGCTCCCCTTGAGGAAGGGGCAGGAAGAGGAGACTTTTTGAGGTTTCAAGATCAACATGGGGAAAGTTTCCTTGTGAACTACCAATATAGTCATTTTGCAGCATGATAATTACGTGCTGTAGTTTTATGCTTATCTACTGAAACAATTCGTTCAACTCGTTGTCTCCTGAGACCCTTTTCTGTGGCAAGAACTGTAGCTTGGTAGGTTTGTAGCTGTCTTTAGACTTCCCTAATATGTACCCACTGTTGAAAATGGAGTAGCTGAATGCATTGTGTCTCTGGCAGTGAGAGTCGTGGTGTTTTTACAGATTGAATGCCTGGGTCAGCAGGATTCCAGCTGAGGTTTACATGACGAGGGAGGATCATAACCATGCAGGTAGAATCACGAGTGCACATATTGACAGAGAAGTAGACTGGTAGTGCATTCACCAGGGTACTACTGTATTTATTGCTTTTCTTGAACGTGTTATGCTTCTGGGCTCCCCAGGAACGCAGCAGAGGAGAAAGTGACAGAAGTGATGGATGTGACCAGGAGGTCTTGCCGTTCAATGTGAGAAATTAGTCAGCATCTAGAAGGAATGTCCAATTTCCTGCACCAGTTTAGTGTTACTGTAAAGGTGAAAAAGGTAAACATGAAAGAAAAAGCTGTGACTGTCATTGAATTTAGCCCTTTTTAAAGCAAAGATTTCTCTGTATTTCTTAAAATTATTCTCATAATTTCTGTGTAAAATCAACTGCCAAAAGATATTTCCTTTCCAGAATGGCTTCAGCCTCTGGTGGTTTGCCAGTGCTTCTATGAACCAGTAATCAGAAGAAACTGAATATCCTTTTAAGTCAGTGGCTCCAACTGAGACTGCAGTTCAATCCGAGGGCATCTTTCGAAGTGTGAGTATGTAGATCCTCAGCTACAGAAGCAAAATGCTGGGTTTCCCATTAGATATGGAAATAAGAGCAGATATGGAAGTTTGAGGTTTGAGTTTTCTCTACTGTTTCCTGTAATTAAGAAAATGAGATAATAGAAACTGTCTAATGCAGTGCCTGCTATAGACGGGGGTTCCACATTGATCTACTTTTAGATAAAGCTATTAATGCAAGGTTTCTCTCTGATACTCCTAAACCTCTATATTGCAGTTGGCTGATGCTTCGCAATTTCTCACGTGATTACCCTTGAACACCATGATAAAGCAGTGGTATTTGTAGAACTGAGATTGTCTGCAACAGATCTCAGTGTAGCTCTGTGTTTCTCTTAAATTTCCCTCAGCTGCAAGTGCCAATGAACTCAAGGTTCAGAAAGCAGCAAACCTCAGTCTCTCACAGTCATGAGTCTTGACAATCAACAGCAAGTTTAATTCTTGGTTTTGCAAGTAGTTTGCATCTGCTGTTCTTCCCATAGTCCATGAAACCAGGGCAGATCTGAAAGGTGGAGTTGTAGATAAGAGATGAGGGGAAGAGTAAAGGGTGGACTTTAAGACAGAAAACAGTTTGGGCTGGAGAGAAAGCAGGTGGGTGTGGACAGGACAAAGTCATCCTGACCAACCTCCTTTGAGGCCGGCAAAGGCAACTCTGAAATGCTTCTTGGGTTCTGGATTTTTATTTATGGGAGATGGGCTGGGAAGAATGGTTGCCAAAGTATAGGACCACTGCAGAGGAACTCTGAAGGGATGGGAAGTATGGGCAAAGTACTGAAGTGGGAAGGATGGGTGTTGGTACTGTGGGTCTCATTTAGGACAAGTCCAGCAGCTTCATTGAGACGCTTTAGGCCTGGTCAGATTGGGAGGGAAGGACCATGAGGGGTCCAGGAGGAGCCCTCAGCTTGTTGGCTGCTGTGGTCGATGACGCATCACCAAGGATCTTTGCCTTTCTTATGACTCCCGCTGTCTCCTCTTCAACCATTTCTCCTTGAGGTTTGCTGGAGAAGGCGGCAGTGGCAGCAGCAAGGACTGTAAGTGTGTGTTGTCTGCTAAGCCCAGCTCAGTGAAGGACAAGGCCTGAAGGACTGCTCAGAGCTGCTGAGCCAAGCCTGATCCTAAGTGAAGGAACAGGAGCATCTTCATGTGCCACAAATACCAAAGGAAGCAGCCTCTTCAACTTCTCCTCAAATTCAAAAGCAGCTGTTAGGAGTAAGTACGTTGTTAGTGTAATTTGGGGTGGTTCTAAAATCCTGAATACAGGACAGTGTGTGGCATTGGGGCCATCACCATTTCTTTGCATGTTCTGATACTGAGATTGCAGCCTGAGGTGAGGTTGTAACTGCAGCAGTTGTCAGGTTGCTGAGCCCACTACCTAGCCATATTCTGAAAACCTTTCTGCCTAAACCAAAAATGTATCATACAGTTGCCCTTGTTACTTGCAGAATTCCCTGGGATTTCCCTCGCATTAGTTTAGCTGGTAGCTCGAACAGTCTGTGTGTGTAAAGCTTGATCATCTCTAGCAATTGTCCATTTTTAGAGCACTCGGAACCCTTTGTAAATAAAATTACACTCTAAAAATTAGAAATACGATAGAAAGCATATGCTCATTGGAAAATCCATTAGGAGCCGTATATCTGTAGACTGCTTAAACAAGGTTTTTGCTTTTCTTTATGATATTGTTGACACAGCCTGTATTTCAAACATTAATGTTCAGAGAGAGCATTCCACACCTGGTTAACTGTTCAGCATTCCAGGGAGGAGGAAAAAACTGATCAAGTGTGATATCTGGAAATAAATATGTTTATAATGTGAAAATAATTATTTTGAACCCTTAAGTTTTCCATCTTTTTTTGTATTTTTAATGACAGCTGTATTTTTTTCAGCGCCTATAGTACATATAAAATATTGTGCTCCAATTGTTTTTATGCCCAGGAATACAATTTCTGTATTTGAGTGTCTTTCTCACTGTCATCAATAACATAAATTTGTCTAAATTCAGCAAGTAAAAACAAGGTTGAAAACTATGTTTTATACCACTAGCTGCAGGGGGCATAAAATTACGGTAATTTGTGGCTTTACTGTTGTCAGTCACGTTCAGGGGTTTTTTCCAGTGGAAATTTATCACGCGCCTGTCACTGAACATACTACAGAGCTTCAAGGCGTTCTTCTAATACAAAGGCACTTAGAAATTCCCTAGGAAGTACATAAAGCTAAAAACACTCATTCACTTTTCTTTTGTCTTGCCTTCAGAAGGGACAAACCTGGAGCAAGTTTGTCCAAAGCGTTGTGCTTAGCTCTGCTGTGACCAGGCAGCACGCTCCTCTTGGCAACAACAATACCTGGACAAAATGCCTTGTGACATGAGTATTTGTAGGAGTTGTGGGGAAAGGTGGGAAGCAGGTACAGCTTGTGGCGAGGGTGGCCAGAGCCAATGTGCAGAGGATTACTGTGGGACTGGTGGGACAGGGATGGCTTTTAGACTGTTCCCACAGGCCTGAAATGCCCTTGTGGCTCCGCAGGGAATGGCAACACGTGCCCCTATTCCTAGGAATTACACTCCAAAAAGTTGATTAAATGATTCTGTGAAGTGGATGATAAAAGAGCAAAGAAGTTGTTGGTGTTCTGCCTTTCTCAGCTGAGATCAGAGTCTCTTCGGGTGATGGCTACCACATGTTTGTCCTCCAGCTTACCCACCTGAAAATCCAGCACCTGCCTTGTGTAGCATAACATCCAGAACCTGGTGGCAGCTAATAAGGGCAGCACATGTCTCATTTTTCAGAGTTTTCATTTTGTGTACCACATTTTGCTGCTGCCTGGTTTGGAACTCCCATTTTTTGGCTTCATGCCTTTCCTCCCTCAGTTGAAGCGCTGCCACAAAGCGATTAGCTATTTTTAACTAAGTGTCGTAGAAGATTTGGGGTGTTTGTTAGGGATAATACTCAGTCCTTTTAGGGCAGTCTTCTCAGCATCATGACTTGAATTATGAGAAGGACAACGTTTACTTGTGTCAGGCTGGAGCTGCTGGGGGAGGCTACACAGGCCTTCTGACTTTCTCAGTAGAACACGAAGGGTTTTTTTATTTTCAAGAAGTTTTTGTTGTTTTTTTAAGCTCTTTCCCCAGTCCCCAGTAAATGAAAGTCTTGAAGGTTGGTGATGTTACCTGTTACCTCGTACAGTTGTATATTGTTGCAAGGCACTGAGAGTTTATTGAAAATTTCCTGTTCTGTGCATTTTGGTTTTGACAATTTGTAAATGTTCATAGATTTCCAATTGCTCTGAATTCGCTTGAAAATTTGGGTTAATTTGCTTGTTTACAAAATACAGATTTTTTTTTTCTTTTTTTTTGAGGCTAGTGGCATTGCTTGTTTACTCACCATGTTGTTCTGGCCAGTACCTTAACATTTGTGCCTCTAAACCCACTTGTTAGACATGAAAAAAGATTGTGTTGGGCAGAAACAGTACTGAGATATGCTGGGAATCTTAGCAAACTCTGATCAGGTTCTTAAAGAGGAGCAAAAGGTACAAATGCGTCGCTATGGAAGAAGCTGGTTTGGGAGCCATGGTGTGAGGACTGAGGGGTTAAAGTTGCAGGTTTTTAGCACTGGAAGCATTATAAGTATCTAATTGTGACCATGAAAGCAAAATAATGCCAACAAAATTTGCAATTCAAAATAACCTTTAAGTTTGATTTAATGACAAAATAAGTGTCAGCAAACAGTTTTATAATTAATTATATAAATTGGCAACAGCACTTCTATAAATTATGGATCTGAATTGCTTTTTAAATATTCCCTAAAAAGAATAAAAATAAAAGCAATCATAGGCATTAGTTGTGTGTGTATATACATATGTATGTAATCCATTCATGCAGATACCTCTACATCTACGTATTAATGTGAGCACAGACTCATATATATGCTTTCTAAAGCTCATCAGTTCTTAAAAGGGTTAAGCAGTTTTAAAATTACCTCAACCCACTGCTTAAACATTGTTGCCTTAATTAATAGCTGCTAACATATGAAGGGCTTGTCTTGGCTCTCCGAGTATTAAGGCAAAAAAAAAAGGCAGCATGTCACAGAGCTCTGTGTACACTGTTTCTTGTCTACTGCCATTAAAATTAATCATTGTGGCTAAAACCTGAAAGGTTTGTTATTTCTGGTACAAGTGGACATACCAACACCTGCGATTTCTTACCCAAAGGATCTCCATGTATACTGTATTGTCTGTGATTTATTTTTTAAAGGAATTTCATGGAGTGTTATTGAAAGGAATGGCTATTGATACTTGTTACTTATTTAGCATTTCTCAACGGATTTTGCAATCAACAAATATGGGGCGAAACAGCTACTTATTAATTTAGCTTAGCCATAATGAAAGCTAGTCCTTTCCCAAGGACGAGTTAAAAGTATTTTGGAGGACTGCCACTGCCCACAAGCCAGTATGTAGAGCAGTGTTTCTGTAATCCATTTTCCAGTGCTAAAAAAGTTTGCTCATTTGCCAAGTGGAGAGACTGCATAAACTTGGAGGGGAAACTGGGGAAGATCTTCCTACCTCTGCCTGTATATTAAAGACTTAAGTAATAATGACAAATTTGTCTTACCTGTTTCTTTATGGATCAGATACCGCCTCTAGAGGTATTGTAACAACACACAGTTCTGTTGTCCAGAGAGTACTTTATAGTATTTATGTAATCAGGAAAGAATTTTTTTTTTTTTTGGTTCTAAATTTGGTGAATTTTCCTTACAAATACTATTTTTGCTTATATTTGATAATCCCACTCCCCAGTCTGACGTGTCTGCAGACTGACGCCCCATAGCCTGTTGCAGTTTTGTTGTGCCCTGGGCGGTTCAAACAGTAGCTGGACAAAACAACTTGGAAACCGTGTGACAAATTAAATGTGGTGCCATTTCAAAACCGGTTTTACACCGACCCGCCTGCAGGAGACCATGACTTACAGCTGAGGAGATCCTTTCTGAAGCTGGTCAGGGAGGATACAGGGAGAGCAAAGACAGCACTGGGTAAACCCTTGGGATGGTGGCATTGTTGGGCTAGAGAGCAGTGCTCTGCTCGAGTGGCATATCTGCCTTAACCACATTGCTAAAGTTGGTTACAGACTGAATGTTGTGTGTGGAACAGGCAGTACAGTGAGTTTTGGGCAGTGTCTTTCTTGTGTTCTGTACTGTTGAGATTGTACAGGTAGTGCAGACAGGAGGGCACAGGGAGCTGCTGCTGATAGAGGCCAGTCAGAGGAAAAAAAACGGCTGTTCTGAAACCTGGAGAGCAAAGCTGTGCTGAAATTCAGTGATGACTTTTAGCCTCGGTGTCGTGGTTTAACTCCAGCCATTAGCCAAGCACTATGCAGCCACTGGCTCGCTTCCCCACCAGCAGGACTGGGGGGAGAACTGGAAGGGCAAAAGCCAGAAAACTCATGGGCTGAGATAATGACAGTTTAATAAGGAAAGCAAAGGCCATGTACACAAGCAAAGCAAAAGAATTAATTTACTGTTTCCCATAGGCAGGCAGGTGTTCAGCCATCTACAGGGGAGCAGGGCCCCATCATGTGTAATGGTTACTTGGGAAGACAAAATGCCCTCACTTCCTCCTTCTTTCCTCCAGCTTTATATACTGAGCATGATGTCATATGGTATGGAATACTCTTACAGTCAGTTCGGGTCACCTCTTCTGCTTGTGTCTCCTTCCAGCCTCTCATGCATTCCCAGCTTCCTTGCCAGCATGTCAGTACGAAAAGCAGAAAAGGCCTTGGCTCTGTGTAAGCCCAGCTCAGCAATAACAAAAACATCTCTATGTTATCAACCCTGTGTACAGCACAAATCCCAAACACAGCCTCATACCAGCCACTGTGAAGAAAATTAACTCTACCCCAGCTGAAACCAGCACACTTGATTAGAACTCTTGGGAAGGTTTCTGTTGCCTCGCTGACCGTTTGATTTTGCAGCAGCAGCAGCAGCAGGTCCACTCTGGAAGTGTGAGTAGTGGCCAGAGCATACAGCATGAGCTTCACTGGCTGAGAGGTGCATAATTCCCCTAAACCTGCACTACCTGCAACTCCTGGTAGCGCGAGTGGGGCAGGTTGTGTGTCATCCACCCACTCTTCCCTGTGCTCCTCTCCATACACAGCCCCACAGCATGCTATTGTTAGGCGTGAACGCTAATTGCTGGTATTTCAAGGCTCCTACCTTCTTATTGCTAAAGCCTGTAACAATAATCACAGCCTATATTCCCCATCTCTCGGCATCAAGGAAACAAGATATGATCACAGGCAGTGTGCTAATGTAATTGTAGTATATAGAATATGAGCTTTTTCTGTGTAAACAGAGGCCTGGCCACCTCCTATGATAGCTCTTCCTCCACTCCACGCGCTGGCTGTTCCCCGGCTCACTGCTCAAGTCCCCATTATGTATACATCTACCCTTGTCATAACACCACCTCTGAAACACTCACACCGTTTGGTCCTGCTGCATAATGTTAAGAGGGTGGAATTTTAAATTGAAAAAGGCTGTTTAAGTAATGTCAGCAGCCTGACTAATTTCACAAAAGGAAGGAAATTCAAAGTTAAGGCTATGGTATATTCTTATCTAGATGCCTGAAGATTTCTGTGCGTGACAATATGCCCCTAAAATTCAGAGCTGTCCCTTATGTCTTTAATTTCTCCCATTGTGTCTCTCCTTTTTTTTTATTAAACATCAAGGTGAATTCACAACAGAGAGTCAGCCTAGAATTTAATCCTCTAAATACCTTGAAAATAGAGGTTTAGACTAGAAGTACCAATATATACCCTTAAAACTTCAGTGTAATATAAAAGAGATTCTAATCACAACAGATCATTACAAAGAAGAGTAAACCATTTAAAAAAAAAAGTGTCTTAAATATAATAAAAAGGAATAATTAAGAATCAAATAGGAAGCTGCTATTCTGACAATTTAATGATGCTGAATTGGACTGAAAGAATTGGCTTTGCCATTAAAAGGCAATGAAAATCTGATAATTTCAAAATGGCACTGAGATCAGATCAAGTGGGTTTTTTTGAAACCAAATGCAGCAGAACCGGAAAGATATGGTAGGATTTGCCTTAGAAGAACCTTGGAGTGTTTTGGATTCCTACTGCTGCCTAAGGCTGAAGATCTTACTTTATCAGACCTGCTTAATATCTTTAGACCGAGGTCTTCCTGGGAATATGTTACCTCGTGGCATCTGTGGAAAGTAATGTGGCAGTCCTGACTGCCAAATTGAATAATAAAATATGGATGTTCTTTCATTCTTAATTCTTTAAAAAAAGCCAAACCAAGCCTTGGGATTTATGTAACAGTATCTGGGGCATTATAGCCGATTACAGGAGGAGTTTTCCACTGTGAGCAACATGTAAAGGAAAGTCAAGTAGTCCATTTGCTTTGGGTTTCTGTATAGAGGAACAGAGATGTGCATCTAAACATTTAAAAGCAGCAAGCTAATCTTATAAAGTGCTCACAGCAACTGTACACCTAATGTGTACATGCACTTACCATCACTGTGTGTGAGCTACGGCCATTTATTTACTGATATTCATTTTCTGTGAGTATAACTAGGTGCACAGTTGCAAGCATTTAATAGATTGCATTGTTAGGTTTTTAATTACTCAGGGGCAGGTTGGTATTTTCTACCTGAGAACCTGAGGAAGCAAACTTGGTGAATTGCTGTGATTTGTACTGCCATGGAGAAAGATGTCGTTAATAACAATCAATTAGTATGTATTTACACTGTAAAAATGAATCCAAGAAGGTGAGATAATTTTATTGTTATCATATCTACAGTGAGCAAATACCCATTTTGGGCATCATCAGCATCTAACTGGAACACAAAGGCAAAGTTTTAAAATACACAAGCAATTAGAAACAACACAGAGTAGTTAACAGTTGTATTTTCCATCCTTGCACATGTTCTCCTGGAGCAGCTGTGAAATCTTCTGGTTTGCTTTCCTCTGTGCTGTGTTTGTGAGTGCTGAATGTCATACATGCCACAGAAAGTAGTGTTCTGATCCTCTTCTCTCGCGGTTCTCTGAATTAAATACGTGATCAGTATATGTTCAAACATTATGTACTAAAACATCAGCTATTACCATGTGCAGCGGGTCCTTAAAAATCGGTGGCCCGCAGCTCAGAACATGTGGAGAACTCACAGGTGCCTTGTCACCTGTGAAATCCGTGTGTCAAGCGAACAAAAAAGCCCAAAGCCCACCCCAAACCCCCAGCCCAGGCTGAAGCCGCGGTCCGTGTTGGGCTCTGCGGGGAGCGCTCCCGCATCCCGACTCCTGGGGTTCTGCTGCCATCCTGTGGCAGCCGCGCTGCCGCCGCCCGCCTCTTCCCCTGGGCGGCTGCCGGGGAGGGGGGGACCAAAATTGGGCTCGTTCTTCCCCTGCCTTCCTGCAAGGGACGCGGTCACCTGCTGCCGCCTCTGCTGTTACCAGTCTTGGGTTGATTTCTGCTTGATGAAGCGCAGAGATAAATAGTATAAAAGCAGGAAGCTGCAAATGATACCGATGAGGACGAGGTAGCTCACGTAGAGAGGATGGGAGTCCATGTCCAGAGAGTGAATGATCTGTAATGACCAATAACACGAAATTGGGAAAAGGCACAACATTTTCATGCTGGATCTGTGAATTGTGTTTTACATGTGAGCTCCCCTGGCTCATGCCATCTTTTCCCCTTGGTTTCCAGCTGGGTGTAGCTTTTGGGGTGCTTTGGTAGTGGGTTGCAGCTACCCTGTTCCTATTTCAGAGGAGCACAGTTCAGCTCCTGAACAATTTCAGCAAGTGCATAGTTGGGGCTTGTGTAGAAAATAGTGGCCCACGATTATTTGCCTTTTTTTTTTTTTCCTTATTTTTTTTCCTCTTTCATTGAAAGAAAGTCGTATGACTGACTGCTATAGGGACATCTTTAAGGACAAACTTACAATATACCAAGTGTAACACGACTTCGTGCACTGATTTGGCATTTGCCAAATTTGAGGCCTACAACATTTAAATGCCATTTAAATATGACAGGCATATAAATGGCATTCCACCTGGTTATCAAATGTTTGTAACAGTTTTTGTAACTGACTTACAAATTTCCCTGGTATTTTAAAAGTAGTGTTTCCAACGGTCATTTCATATGTGTGGTCAGTGAACTGAATTTGCATCATTCCTTGAAAATTCCATCTGAGGAAAGAGATTTTAGAAACCCAAAAAGGAACTGGAAAAAAAAAAAAAAAACACAAACAGAATGAAAGAAATGGATACACATACACAAAACTTGAGACCTCAAAAACTGCTGTGCTGCTGCCAAATACAGCAGGTTTGTCTCATTTGTTGACAGCCAGAGGCTGTAAACATGTAGGAGTTTATTATTGGACAAAATAGCAGATATACTTTATGTTGTTACATGGAGATGGGAAGTGAGGAGTGAGATAATATCCATATCCATCAAACTCCTACTGTCAGCCAAGTCTTCCTGGAGCTCCATCTTCATCTTTTGAATACAATTCTTTTTACTGAAAAGTTTGGCAACCACTTAATAATCAAACCTTTCTCTAGTCTCTAGTGCTTTTTTGACCAAACTTCCTGTTCCCTCATTTTCAGATGGAGAAACTTATACGGAATGAATTATCTGACTCCACTGTCACCATCCAAGAAGATAATTGCAAAGGTATGAGCAAAGCTAAGTTTTCCTGCACAGCTCTGCAGCATCTCAACAACTAGTCACTGATGAAAGCCATCGATGTTTCAGTTTGGAGGGATGGTGGGAACTTCGTCTCACCTGTCCAGAGACTTTCCAGGCTTATCACAAAACCACCACTCAGGTAGAAGGATGTGAAAAGGACGTTCCCAAGGAAGGCTGAGAGCTGCAAGGTCGGCAGCAGCGCTGCCACCCAGAGTGCCATGGCACGGGCACTGTACACAGCCAGCCACACCGAGACAAAGTTCAGCAGGAAATGCATTGGTTCAGGGATGAGGTTTGCCAGCCAGTAGATGGGAACTCCATAAATTATAACAAAAGCACAGTGTTCTGGGAGCTCCCCCAAAATCTGTTCAGGGAGAAGAAAAAAAAAAAAAATAAAAAAAGAGAATGAGTTGAATGATAATTACAAAACCACATGAGATGTGCCTTAATGTACTTACAGACTTCTTATAAAAACTCTGGGAAATACTCCCTTAGAACGCAATCCTCTGCCTGTTAGGGGTTAACAGTGACATGCAAGACCAATCCACAGCAGAAACTGAAATCCACGCTAATTTTTTCTCCAGTTGTGACATTGCTTGTAACTAATTGTTAAATGGAGAGGACTCTTGTTTTAGGTTAGAGGTCTTGTTTTGTTACTGTTTGGGCAGTTTCTAAGAATTGAAGAGGCTTTCCCTGAGAACTGGTGTGCTTGTTAACAGCGATACTGTGACTGACTCATGGCTAATGTACGTTTTGCCCCAATTTGGTTGAACCTAATGTGAGATCACATTTGAGACAAATTTGGCTGTTGGTCCATTCCCTACCTTGTCCCAAAGGCAGTCCAGATAGCAGCTTAATTTGTTGTAAAACAAAGGCATAAATAGGATTTTCTCAAATATCTGAAGAGTCTATAGAGAGCATTAGTTCTTCCTAAGAGGGTTGCTACTATCCTGTAATACTAAGGTTGTAACAAATTACATCGATTTCTCTGTGAATAATGTGCAATCTTTGTGACACAATGCAAAGAATATTTTTCTCTGGCAACCACTAATAAGCATTTAAAATCTTGTGCAGAAATGGAAACCTAAATTACAGATGCCATGGCAGGCAGAACTCATCTAACAGCGGCAACATCACAAAGAAGAGATTATTCTAAACCCTTGTGAAAAAGAGAATGCAATTTTTTAAAAAAAAGTTCTAAATTTAATTCCAGAAACTCTGGCTCTTTATGCACTTAATACAGTTTTTTTTATCTCTGACCAGCACAGGCCGAAACAACAACTGGAAACAACAGTTTGTAATTTCTGTTTTACCTTTGCTTTAGCTTTTGATGCAAATATTTTGTTTTGCAGATCAAGACACATAAGCAAACTTTCAGAGGTGCTTCAGTGAATTATGCAGGTATATGAAATTGCCTAAACCCCCAGATTTGAGTTTGAGATTTCTTAAATTTTGGCCAAACAGCCCAGGGAAAGGTTCTTCTTTGGCTTCTCGGGTGTGGGATCTCAGCCATGACTTATGGCAACAGATCTAAAGTAGTGTGAGGTTTAATCTATTAATGCCAAGGAAGCAAGAACGATAGCCTTAGCCAGCAGACACAAAAGAACAACATCTGATATGAATGTGATTGTTTATACAACAAGTCTTTGATTTGCTTGTGTTTTTTTTTTTAAATGTTCAAGGCAGCTGTTTGTATTTCCTGGCAACAAAACCAATTACCTTAGCAAAGAAGTATGGGCTGACAGAGTACATTCCACCTTCCAAGTCATGATAAAGCATTGCTCTTTCTGAATGGCCTGCGGAGGAGGAAAAAACCAGATTGTTTTAGGCCTTGAGTTGTATTAATAAGTTTAATTTTTTCATTAATTTAGGAATCTTCTGATTTTGATTGCTTATAATGTTTACAAGAAAACCGACACTTACATTTGGCTATAACATCCAAAATTATTGTGAATGGGATTAGGGCACCTATCATGTACAGCAGTGCTGTTGTGTCACGAATAGAGAGTCCATCTTTGTCATGGCCATAGTACAAAAATCCAATTAATAATGACATAAGAAGGGCCTCAAATCCATGGATTAATAACGTTGAGAGGTCTCTGAAGTCATTGGAGACTTGACGACTAGGAAAACAACAACATCGACCGTAAGATATAGTATTTAATAATGCCAGTCATGTTCAGAGACATTGCCCCAAACACTGTTAAAATCAATTCATGGAACTTGCTGACTTTGACTGTGATTGAAGTTGGGCTGCCTCTTTCTGTAAAGGCTTTTCCCTCATCAAAGCTATGAGCCATCAGTAGCCACTGAGTATTTCAGGTCTGAAATGCCGACAGCTTGAAGGAAGGCAATAGGTGTGGGACACTTTGTGCTTCTTTCTTATGATTTAGAATACAAATGGGCATGATACATAACTGTTTATGCTGAAGATAAGTTTACCTTAATAATACAGTGAACTGCTTTAAGGCTCCTGGTAACTGATCACTGGAATGGTGAGGCATGTTGATAGCCTCCTCTGAATTTAAATGCGACCTGTCCAAAAGAAAAAGAGAAAAAAAAATATTGAAATTAGCACAGGCTGTAGCTGGTGTCTCAGATCCCCTGTATGACACTCTTTTCTTTACCTCTGCTGGCCGACTGTGGTCACAACATTGTCTCCTTCAGTAACTTTCCATAAGAAATCATCAAAATGTTTGACTTTTTCTAGGAACAAGTTGGCAAGGGTATTTGCTCTTTTTCGGCTTTCCATCTCCTTTTCTGCAGTTTGTTTATCGATACTGGTCAAATCAACTGCAAGACATCACTTGATGTAAGTCCATATGCTGTAGAAGTGATAACTTTATGATGTGCTTAGAATCAGGGATTTCAATGTGAACAGATAGTACAACCTGTGTACATGCATCGACTTACAATAGTTAAAACTTTATTAGTTACTTTAGGTAGTCAGAGATGATTATTCATGTGTATGCTTCTTACCCCGTCATTCCATGAATCACTGAGAGATTACATAATTGCTTATTATAATATTATAAACTCTATTTCAGATTTGTCAAAATTTCATAGTGCCTTGAGAGGAGTGCTGGGAAAAAAACCCATTTGACTTTCCTTCCTGGCATGTAGGTATTTACAATCTTTTATGTGACTTTGACTTAAATCACATGTTTCTTTCTTCATCTCCAAAATTACAGTTATCATCTTATTTGTATCTTATGGAGGTGCCATAAACTTTACCGGATACTGAAAAAGTCCAAAAGGAGTATTATCTAAGGATAACATAGAGAGAGAGTAGAGACTTAGCATTATTTTTTTACTTAACAAAATGATTTTTTAAAAAATCTAAACTTATATTAATATTTTACCATGTTGACCTTCAGTGTAGAGTGACAGTGCTGCATGTTTTGCAGATGGTTTCAGAGAGAGCTATTGCTGCACACTTCCTGATTCCTTGCATTGGGCTGATCATCTCTGTTCAGCCACCCCTTAGCAGGAGTCCACCAGAAATTACTTCAGTCTGCCCTGTCTTCAATTCTACAATGGTTTCCTGTTTTTCTACCAGACACACAGTCAGCATTTGTGTGTTTCCATCACATGCTCCTTCTCCCTGTGGATCCTCTGCCACCCTGTCCTATTTCCACCTTCCTGCTGCCCATATTTCTTTTCTCTTCCTATGTGTGCTGACTCTGCATCCTGCTAAAAGATCCTCCCTCTCTCATCCCTCCCTACCTCCATGTCATAGGCGTTTGTAACCGCAGGCAGCAGCTACAAGTTTCTCCAGGACTGTCTCTCCATTCCCCTACAGGGGTGCTCAAGCCTTCCTTGAGGCTGTCCTTGGCTCTGAACTCTGATTGTGACAAAGGTCTTTTTGCAGGGCTTGACACCGAGTTCAACTTCTGTTTATCTCTGCCCAGCTGACTTTGCCTGCCACATAGGCACAGCTGAAGGGGTTACTGCAGAGCACTGAGGCTGTCTGTACTCCAGGGCTGAAAAGGTTACTCCAGAGCACTGGTGTGTCTGTATGAGGTTTCGTGGCCAACTTGAGTGCAAAGACCTAAGTGCTGCAACTGAACCAGCCTCTGGTAAGAGATTCCTGCCCATTAGATTAACGGGGCCAGATTCCCTTTCCACGTTGCAAAAAAAACAGAAGAAGAATGGATTTGAAACCGTGTAAATTTTCTTTGAGGAGTAAAAGGATTGCCTTTTTGGGTTAGCTTTTTCTCCCTTCCGGTGTGCTCTGTTGGGCAGCACTTCTCTTTCCCATTTACTGTTCCAGGTGCATATTGTTGCTCGCTCTGGGGAAACTAGCTCCTACATTTCGTGATTGAGAAGTCAGAGAACTGGCTACAGAAAGCAATTCATCTGTGTCTTTCTCAGTCAGAGTAAAAGTTTTAACCAGCTAAAACATGAGGTTAAGTGCGCTAAACATGTGGAGGAGTTGCTATACCTGACAGGGTTAGAAGGAGGATATTTTTTAAAAATTGATTTTATCCATACCTCTTGTTTCTCTTACATTTCCTGTACTGAGAAATAAGGATCTCATTAAAACCAGAACTTGCTGCAATATTGATTTGAGTCAGTTATAAGGCGTTTCTAAGACAGTTATTGTCCATAAAAATCAATGTTAGCTAGACACTTATGAAAGCAAATAATTTCCAGTAACTTTTTTTTTATGACAGTGCTTGATACTGACCATAGAAATCCGCAGGATTGCTGTATCTTGGGCAGGGATAGCCTAGTTCTGTGAAATACTGGACCATGTCTCTGGCTGTTCCACAATAGGCAGTGAGTCCAGAAGTCATCAGAAGAACTAAATCAAACAGTTGGAAGATATCTGACCGAGGCTGATGAAGTGAAAGAAGAACCAATCTGTTTCCCCTGGCCAGTCTGGATAATGTTATCACAAGGTTATGTGCAGTAAAACTGTCCAGTCCAGATGTGGGTTCATCAAGTATGAGTATTCCTGCCAAAGACAATAAGTTTAGCTGTGGAAAGCAGCATGTTTGATTTAGAAAATGTGTTCTAAATGAAATGGTGCTAGTGCATGAAATATCACTGATTATTTTTAAATTTAAAGGAAAAAAATTATAGTCTTTTACTTCAGTACCAGTGCATTTATTTCTGAGCATCACTTCTTATAAAATAAAAAGTCATCTGCTTTCTCCATAATCACAAAAATATATTCCTATACAAGCAAAAGTTGTTCAAATCCACTTCCCAGTGAAAAAAATTATGTCAAATCTTGCTTAACAAGAGGCTCAGTCAAGGTTAGTAGTGCTTTTGATATATATGAGGTCAGATAGGGGATTCAATCCTGGAAAATCAGCTGTGGATTTAGCCTCATGTTTTGTTTCTGCTAAAGACAATGGAAGTTTCTAGTTCACCTGCTGCATGAGCCAGCCACGTCAGTGAGCTGCACAAGACTGCAAGGACTGACTATACAGACAAGAAAATTACCTTCCCTGTGAATTCTGCACATGTAAATGGGGGCTGGGTCAGAGGAAAGGAAAACAATCTCCATGTTACAATAGGCCAGCAGCCTTCCAAAGTAACTTGTGGCATGTGGTCAGATAAAAAACAAACGAGATATGCACAGACCAGAGCACTGCCTGAGGGTAATGTCAGGCAACTTTCTTGTCAGGGTGGGTGAGAGTGGGAGGTGAAGGCTCCCAGGAGGACTCTGCATTGGCCTACCTCCGATTTTCCATTGGCAAAGGTGACAGAAACGCAAGTGGGCCAACTGCTAAAAACCACTCTGTTTACCGAATTATTGCTGTAATAATCACAGTGTTATCTGTGATCAGCACTGATCTCAATTTGCGCAAATGGACCAGCACTCAGTCACTGTGTCTGACTGTGCTGTGGAGAGGTAACCTCTGGCAGAGGGTGCTGCCAGGTTTAGTGTTCTGAGTATGAACTCCTCGAGCTGCCCCCAGGGCAGCTGTTCCCTGGAAGCTCCTACCTTCATTTGCTGCCCCATTATCCCCAGGTGGCCTGTGGTAGGCACGAGGAAGGTGTCGGGGTTTTGCTCACCCGGGTTCCAGAGCAGCTGCACGCCGATGCTCACCCTCCGCCTCTCGCCTCCCGAAACACCACGGAGGAACTCGTTCCCTACCCTGGTGTTTGCACACTGGCGCAAACGCAGCTCTGCTATAACATCTTCTACCTGGGGGATCCAAAGAGAGAAAGCAAGTGTTCATTTGGACACTCGTGCATGGATAAAACTGGTTAAAATTCGTCTGGATATTTCAGAGCTTATCTGATCAAGAGACACTCTTGATTTTAGAGATAACATTAAAAAAGACTCAGAGATCAAAAATTGAGTTCGTCTTTCAGCCTCTGTAATGCTTTCTCTAGATTGTCATTTTTTATGAGCTTCGGAACAATTGCTGGTTTCTATCTTGAAAGATGAAAAAGGTTTATAATTCATAATCTACATAAAAAAATACCAGATTAGCTGTTCTGACTCCAAACACACAGGATCTCTTGGATAATTCCTGTCAGACACATTTTTGACAACTTTACTTTTTTCCAACAGCTTAATTACCCTTTTTTTCCTTTGTGAGTCTGAAAAAAACTTCGGAAGGCGCAGTTTGGCAACGAACAATAGTGTTTCTCTGACAGTCAGGTGGGGGAGCAGTCGGTCATCCTGCCGCACGTGTGCTATGCATTTCCTAACAAGCTGGGGAGTGCTGGGTTTGTTGTTGATCAGGATTTGACCAGACTTGATTTTGCCTCCATGATCCCGGCAGGTTATCACATCAAGCAAGGATGTCTTTCCACCAGCTAGAAAAGTCAAAGTTGAAAATTAAATTAATTTCCAAGGGATCATTTTGAAAAGTGGTCTTGTCACAGACAGAGGACAGAAATTTTTGTTCCTTAGTGTCTCTTACACAACACTTCCTGCAGTTTTCCCAAATCCACGGAGTGGCTTTCAAATGGTCTTCAAAGAAAATAATGACTGTGAGCTCATGTTCAGGAAATCTGTCCCCTCTGGAATGGAGTATGGGGCTTTAACCCTTGTCATTTCTCAGCAGAACTGGGAGGTTGGGCATTGAGGGTAGCTCCATGAACACAAGAAGCAAGATCATTTTGGTTACCTCTCTTTCACTTTTAAAACATAGGTGACAGGTGGTGTCTTGCCCTGGCTGCAAGGCTGACATCCAAATCCTAAGCAAAAGCTTTCTTTGTGGAAGGATTTGTGAATTCAGATACATCAGCTGGATCAGCTGAACGACTAAGGTGTTGAATGATTATATAGACAATAAGAACCTTAATCATGAATGAAATAAGAATTATTATGACTTAAATAAGACAAAAAGACAGTTAAATAATTAAGAAAAGCTGGCTCATAATCAGAGGTAGGAAAAGTAAAACAATGAAAACAAAACCTGATTTGGAGTTAAATAGTAAATGAATTTTTCCTTTTTGCTGTATGATACTGTATGTAAACACACAGAGCTCTCTTATTATGATTAAATGTCATTTATTTCTAGTCTCCCTGTTGAAAGATTAACTCCACATTTGTTTCTTAATACATACATTTTAAAAAAAGAAACCCAGCCATCTGTAAACCACGTATCGCTCTGTTTAAGAGTGACATATTGATTGCCATTGACAATGTGAAACCCATCAGCGGTTTAATCCATTTTGTTAAGGCATTTGATGAAATAAATGATAAACAGCTTTTGAAAATAGTTTGACTAGTTTGCTGAAAGGTGTTTGTGCTCAGTGTATGTTATCTTACAAAGGTGCTATATCTATAACTTTGTATGTTATTTCATCACAAGCTTTTCCTTTTATTTTCAGGAGAATCTCTAAGGTACAGCTTCAGTTACATTAAGGATATATACTAAGGAAAAATTCCCATGGCAATAAGGAAGAAACACCTCTTTTTGTAGAAATAAAGTTAAAAGTTTTTGGCAAATATGCCTTGTCTTTGAGAGAGAGCATCTTCACTGAATCACTGAGATATATGAGTCTAGTTGGACACACAGCATGGAGGTTTTTCCCTCCGAAGTACTTTTTACTTCAATTTAACACAATCATGTGTCTACTTCTTATCTTCCTAGATGAGCTTAGCTCCATTAGACGACCTCACTGTGGAGAAGGTTACACCAGTCCCACCACAAAATGAAAGAAGAAAAGAAAAAGGCGTTGCAAAGCAGTGACCCCAAACAGCAGCGGAACTGTCTTTTCTTCTCTGTAAGTTACTCTTAATTAACCCAAATGCAATATTATGTCCTGTTAGAATTGTTTCGATCCAGAGGGAATTTCTGCTTACGGCTATGCAAGTTGGCACTGATCTTTCTGATGGGGTCTGTCCTCATTTGTCTGCCCTGTTTTCTGGGTAAGTCTGCAGTTGGCCTGTTTTGAATCTGAGCCATGAAGCTGATTCATGTCCAGCAGATCTGGGGCTGCAAGGCCACAGTTATAACAATACCCCACTACACCTCAGGAAACAAATAGCAAGTGTGTACAAGGCATAACAAAATCAGGTTTGAAAATCAGTTTTATACACCCGCCCTCCCCTGGTATCATTCTTTGTTTCCTCAAAGATCATGTCACTTAAAGATTGTATTTGAGTGACACATTGCCAGTAGTTTTTTTCTCAACTAGATTTTGACATTAAAAAAAACTGCAGAGTGTTGCTCTTGGCTGTGCACGTTTTATCTGAGAGTTGGTCATATCCTGAAATTTGTTTGCTCTTACCAGTGCTTCCTATAATAGCCAGCATCTGACCACTTTGAACTTTTAAATTCAGATTCTGGATTATTGACACACGAGAACGGGGATCTGATTTCCAGGTCCAGGGCATTTTCATCTGTGCAAGGTTTTCATACCAGGGAATCTGGGATGCTGTGTTAACCTAACAAAGAAATAAACAAGTCCCTTCAAGCAATAAACTATTTATCAACAAATATCTTCAAAGTTATGATGTTGCAAGCAAAGAATATTATTGTTAATCTTCAGAAATACATGGAAAGAAGTTCTTCTGCACTCATCTATGGGGTTTGTGTTTTGCTTCTCATTCTGTTAATCACTAAATCTATTTCTGTCCTCTGTTACTTTGGAAATTTATTGCTATTGTAAATTTTAAATGTTTAAAATTTTAATACAATTTGAAATTCCATTAAACTGAAAATTGTGAAATCTACTTCAGATGCCGTGGTGGCACAAAGGAGATGAAAAATTTCACGGTCCCTTGAAATCCTCCTTATTAGTCATCCTCTCTTTATCTCTTTCCACATACTCATTTTTGCCAGCAAGGGCTCCCAACATCCCTATCATGACAGAAAGTCCCTCTGCCCCAACCCTCAGAGGAATAATTTTGCTCAAGGCTGATAAAAAGCAGAGCTTAGAAACAGATCTTTCTTCCTGTCTTACCCCCTAGCTTTACTAAATGTATTTACAGTGGAGGGGTTAGTCTGCTGTCAGTATTGCAGCCAAGAGTATGATTCTACTCACAAAACCATGTATTTGACTCTGCAACAGTTGTGTGAATTTTTTCGACTTTGTTTGGCATTTCAAATGGCTTGTGTATAGAAACAGGCATTGCTGGATATGCTTCCTGCTGAAGGGAGGTATTTCAATGACAATTCTTACCTGGTAGTTGAGTTCTTTGACCTCCAGAACATTTGATTTTCCACTGTATGTGAAATACAGACTGTTATCTTCTTCAGAGATAAAAATAGTGTCCTGGGTCTTGGTCTGGAAAAGTTGTTAGGTGAATTACAACAGTTAATTACAATAACTAAAGTACTGTTAAAATCGGAGTTCAGAGAAGACGAAGCACAAAGGTAAATATATTTAGGAGATATAACAATATTATTGATGAATTACTGTAGTGCAAAAGTCTGAGGGGTTGAAATAAGTTATCTGTTATTTTTTAATCAGTGTGAAATGTACTTTGTTCTGGTGACATGTATGAGGGCCAAACATGCTGTGCTGTGCTTTTCTAGTTGATTTAAGTTTAAAAGTGGTCACTCAAAATGGAGATAAATGCCATGCCGCTATAAAGAGATTAGACTCTTTTTTTTCTTTTCTATTGAGGAAAAAAGATATACTGCTTCAGCAGTGTTAGTCTACTTGATCAAAATGGTGCATATAGTAATTCATAAGTTATGGCAGCTAAAAATTAAGGTTCACTGGAAGTATGCCTGTTATTGAATTCCACATGGACTCCTTAACTTGGAGAATTTGTGAACAAGTGGATATGCAACCACAAGTATATATTATTTAATATATATATTTCTCCTCTTTTGTTTTTTAAATTTACAGTTTGTCAACTGTGAAACTTAGTGTTCTGAGGTATCAGTTAAAATAACAAGAGTCTCTACTTGGCTTGGTTAACCTTTTGCATACAGCTGCAATTATGAAGTCGTTGCTCAGGCAGCTTTCTGACTTTGGGTTCAACTCCGTGTGCATGCCTGCAGTTTTTAGTCCAGACAGCCATATCTCTCCCACAGCCCTGTGCTTTTCTTACGGGTCAGACTCATTTCCTTGCCAATGCAAACGTACCTGTTCCCTCTTTAGCAGACCCTATCTATGCCTGTGGTATCTTTGGCAGCTGGTGACCACGATCTTATTGTGCACCACCTACCCTCACAGCAAACAAGGCTGATTAATCTTTTCAGTCTAGATACACAGCAGAAAGCAATGTCACATGTCAAGCAGCCTGAAAAGCCACATGAAAGCCCTCCAAACTCCCGCTGCTGCCAAAGCACTCGGTGCTCTTGCTTGTGTTGAACCTAATTTTTAAAAACAGATGCTCCCCAGCAAATGTGGGTATCAGTCTGAAGGCATGTCCTGGCAAAGCCAGTCCAGGCCATGCTCAGGGGCTTTCTCCTCCATCCACCTATTTGGATTTGGAGATCACCTCTCTCAGCCTCTCTAGCACTGTGGCACCTGAGCACTGGCCTCATCCCCACTGTGCTCTGGTGGGGGCTGTGGACACTTTCAGCTCCCCATTTCAGAGCTGGAGGAGTTGAGGGCTCACCAGCTGTGAAAGCCCCGTGGGAAGGCTGCCTGCCTGCCTCTCCCAGCTCCCAGCAAGCACTGTAGCTGCAGAACAGCTGAGCCCATCAGGTCCCTCCCCACTCCCTGCAGGTCTCACTCCCTGGCAAGCCCTCGCATGTCACCTGGCTCCAGCCGGTATCGTCCAGAGAGACATTTTCGGTGGTTTCCTTCATCACGGTGGTGGAAGGTCTCACTCCTTGCAGTGGTTTGACTCTTCCCTTTGAAAGAAATCCTTCTCCTCTTGGTTTGGAACTCGGTCCTTTCCAGGCACCTTCACCGCAGCACCATATCTCCTGGTGTGCTGTGTGTCTGCAGCTGGCGTGACCCCGTGGACAGGGAAATATTCCCCTCCTCTGGGACAGTAACAGCTCGGGCTAAAGGTACATCAGATAGCGGCTTCAGCTGATCGCTGATCACTTGTTCGCAGGAAAAAGAAAGGACCGGGAGCCCCTCTGGTTTCTTTGACGTGGCAAGTGCTGGGGGCAGCGACCTGCTCTGACCCTGGGGCAGAGGGGGCTGCCCCTGGCCTGGCGCTGCTGGAGGCATGGTGGTGGCAGCGCCGGGCACCCGGCCAGAGGCTTGAGGAAGGGAGGCTATGGAGCCCCAGCACCTGAGAATGTCGGGCAGAGCGTCTCCTGCCCTGGAAAAGAGCAGCATCATTGGGCAGACAGGCGAGGCGAAGACTGGGACGCAGCCGTCCGACAGCATCAGTGTCCAGGGTGTCTCCTACACCGTCAGGTAGGGCTGGGGAGGGCAGTACGGAGGGCCCCTGCCTGCCAAGAGCTGCTCCAACCCCAGGGACTGCGGGAAGCGGGGCTGGCGCTGGCGGTCTGTGGGCTTGGCTTCAGCCCAGTCCGAGGGGGAGGGATGTTTCCAGGCTGCCCACCTCATGGCACTGGGACATCTGCCACAGGGGCAGAGCTCACGGCCCGAGGGAGGCACAGCCGGCCTGTCCTCTGGGGGGCTCACCCATTCTCCCTCAGACGTCTCTGGAGGACGTGTGCTAGAGGAGATTTCCAAAGATTGTGCCCTTTCCCACTGCCCTTCTTGCTGCTGCCAGAAGGATAACATAGGCCCTAAGTATATGGCCGGGTGGATTAGTTGCTGGCAAACATCGTCAACAAATAAAGCCACAGTTCAAGTTTGCCCCTTTGGTTGTAGTCCAAAAGCCTCTTAGCAATTATTCTGAAAAATGTGTTCAGACCTCATTTTATCTTGCAGATAATGCTGAAATTAAAAAGTTAAAGCCTGGGGAGGGGAAGGGAGAAAATATTTTGATTTTTATTTTTTCCATATCTTTAAATCCTTGCAGGCTCCCATCCCACATGCAAGTAGCTATAAACCATTCACTTGCTTTATGGTAGATTTTTAAGTATTCTCTCTTTAATTTTTATTGATGTTTGTTTTCCAAGAGAACGTGTTGGCCCATGGTGGAACTTTTCTTTATATTGTAAAAAATGGACCCGGCAAATACTTAAGGATGTTTCTTTTCACATAGAGAGTGGCCAGATTATGGGGATTTTAGGAAATTCTGGTAAGTTGTTCCAGAACTTTGAAAGAAATAAGATTGGAGTTAATACTGGTTACTTTCTCAGTGATCTGAATGTGACTGAGATCTGTGTTTTAAATAATGAAATTGCGGCTCATTTTAACTTCTGCTTTGTAAAACTCCGGTGCTTGGTTTTCAGAGTTCAATCTTCTGTCATCTAACTAATAATTATAACTTCAGTAACAGAAAAGGTTACTTCTAAACTCAAATGTTCCGCTGCAAAGTGTGAATTTGTATGAAGTGAACGCTAACTCACATTCTCGGTTTCCCATTTTTTTTCCCCTTAACTAACTGCATATTCAGGACTAGTATTTTAATGTTATTGAGAAAAAAAATCTCGCTTCTTTTCATATGTCTCCATTCAAATCAGGCTACCGCTCTTGGAATTGTAACATTCATCTCATCACCTGATTAATTTCTTTTGTTTAAAAGGCTCTGGGAAAACAACACTTCTGGATGCAATATCAGGAAGACTGACACATAAAGACAACTTCTCTGGTGAAGTGTATGTGAATGGACGTCAGCTGAAGAAGGAACAGTTTAGAGATTGCTTCTCTTATGTACCACAGGTTGATTTCTACATTTATTTTTTGTGTACAGTTCTTCCTTTCACGTAAAGAAAAGTAATGGTGTAATGCAATCTGATTGTGATTTTACTAGTAAATTTGGGACAAATCAATTATTAAACTGCATGTATTAACTAAACTTGCATGAGGAGAGACAAGATAACAAATTACTACAGGATTAACTGCTTCTTTTTCCTCTCTTTTTTTTCAGAGTGACACTTTGTTAAGCTTTCTCACTGTGCAAGAGTCTTTGACATACACAGCTTTGCTAACTCTTAAGAAATGCTCCAACAACTTCATCAAAAAGAAGGTCTGTATTTTATCGTCTTCCACCAGAAAGGTAGACATGATGTCATGTAATGCTTTCACCAGCAGCGCTTTCCATCCATGGCTGTGTTTTATGTTTACGAGGTTTTGTAATCCTCATTCTGCAAATGGGGAGAAATCCTCCTGCTGAGGAGTAGGACCCTAGCTCTCTGGTGCTCCCCCCCTGTGCAAGGGGCTTGTGCTGACATCCCAGAGTCACCATTATGCTGGGATAAAACTCTCCACCCAAAGCTGCAGCAGTTACTGCTGCAGGAGATGCTGATGTTGGTTTTGAGGTCAGTTCCCCTTTCCCAGCTGGTAAACCCAGTTCTTGCTATGTGTGCTGGCAAGTCTCATGGACAGCAGAAGTGATTTTGACACTGCTCTGGCTCCTGTAGGACATCTCTCACCAACCAGAACAGCTCCAAAAAGCACTGGTCTACTAAGCCCCCTACAAGCTATATTCTTGATAAAGTAGGTATGTTTCAGATTTATTTAGAGGACTCTTTTGAAGGTAAAGATTGGATATTCCTGACCAAAGGCTCTTGTTTTCTGTCTCTTCTCTTCACCGATCTTCCACTCAGGATGGATATGCCTTCCTGCTCCCCAGTTTTGGAAGCCAGACTAGCACATTACGCTTCATACCTTAACTTCTAGTCCCACCTCTGAACTCTTCATCTCTTAATGTCAACTGATTACTCATTTCAGAATACATGAAAATAAAATTTTAAAAAATAATTTAAATAATATATGAAAAATAATCAAGTAGAAATGAGGCCGTATACCCTCCAACTGGAATGGATGCAAGCAGGATATTGGGGAAGCTATATTCTAAAATTATGTCTTTTTCTTCCCTGCTTTTTGCCATTGCACACAGGTATCTGAGTTGGACTGTGTTTAGTCTTTTAAAATTGTAATTATTTTTCAGGTAGATGCAGTCATGACCGAGCTGAGCCTCAGCCACATGGCTGACAAAATAATCGGAAGCCGTAATATCGTAGGAATTTCTGGGGGTGAGAGGCGTCGGGTATCAGTTGCAGCCCAGCTATTACAAGATCCCAGTAAGTACCACTGCATGGATTTTCAAAATAAAACTGTATCTCTTTGTGGTCCTACCGTAGGCTTCCATAAAACACTTTAAAATACAAAAGCATTTACGTCCTGTAATTCAGCAAAAACTGTCTTATAATAACAGAATAGGGTAAAATAGTAACCGGGGTCTACCATTAATCTGTTAGCTGATCTTGGAAAGCAGACAATTAAAAAATCTTAGGGGTTGAGCATAGGTTTAGATTTGCATTTATCCGTTTCAAGTCTTACTGGGCTCACTCTTCCCACGTGTTGGTTGTGGCCCATTAATTCATAATTTTTGAGCACATTGGAGCCATATATATGCAAGCACTGAGCCTTGCAGTGGAGTTCATGCCATTGAGCTGTGTATGCATGAGCACCACGTATGTTCTAGAGGCAAAAATATTCTGCTGAGTGAAAATCAAAGCAAAATGACAATAGAAGGATTATCCAGGGGGGGGAAAAAAAATCCCTGTAAATTTTGACATTTTTGAGATAGTTTCTTGAAGTTGCCAGAATCTTGTGGAGTAAATGTACTGCAGGCATCTGCTGTGTGCTGGAGTTATTGTAGCAATGCAGATATGCTAGAACTGCATATCAGGCAGGAAGGAGCACTTAAATAGTAAAGTAAGATGTATCACTGCTACCTGTGACTTCTGGGGAGTTCACTGGATGTAGTTGTTGCGCAGTAAGTCACTAAACTCTATAGTAAACACTATAGTAATTCTGTGTAGATAAACCTATAGCGATAAATCCCTTCTTACCCCAATCAAGGTTGGATTGCCCTCTTCTCTGCTTTATCTCATCTATACAAAGATAATGGATTTGACTAAATTTTTCCCTTCCATTTGCAATAAAATAATGAAGAAAATGCAGTAATCCCCTCCAGCTCCCATTTAGGGAATTAGAAACGCTGTATTTTAACAACTCTTGGTTTGTTCATAACAAATTCTGTGTGTATATATAGATTTAATTCAGATTATAACTTCTTGCTAATTTTGTCAGTTATATTTACATTTACATACATGCTGAAATTTATCATGATTGTTCTTAGAAGCAGATGTATACATCGATTCTATTTTGGTAATTTTCACATTTTACATGAATTTAGAAAAAAAAAACGATTATGCTTTGATCCTGCACTAGTTTTTTATGCCCTTATTCCTAATCATTGTAACTCAACTAATGAAACTAACTTAAACTGAAAGATCCCATCATGGTGATCCATTCATACTCAACTTTACACGTGGAACTTCACATGTAAAGTAATTTCTGTATTGTTTGCTTTTTTTAAAGGCAGAAGCTGTAGCACTTCCTCCTCATTTACCTGAATTTTAAAGCTATTCCTTGTCATTTGACAGAGGTCATGCTACTTGATGAGCCAACGACAGGGCTGGACTGCCTGACTGCAAACCAGCTTGTCTTGCTTCTCTCACAGCTTGCACACAGAGACAGGATTGTGATTCTTACAATTCATCAGCCTCGCTCGGAACTTTTCAGGGTAAACGATGTCTACTCACTATTGGCGTTTTTTTTTTTACCAAGATTTTTAATACCTAGGTTCTTTTCAAAACAGAAGTACAAGATCCAGGATAGTTGCCTCCATAGGGTCTCCTCCTTTCCCTTGCATAAATACAGCCTTGTCTTGAACTTTACAACTCTGGCCTTCTGCCAGTCACAGGGCACTTTGGGACACTGTGAAAACAGTATGCACACTGACTGTGTGCCTAACCTTTGTGTTGTGTTTGCAAAATCAAAACCACTGGGAGAAACCATGTCAAGGGATGTGGATACACCTTGGTTATGGGGTGGGGCTGGCCTGCCTTGCAATCCTTGTACTGTGGAAGAGCATTTCTCCCTTCCCACCACTGTTTCTTGCTTTGCTCTTCTGACACATCCACCACCTCCATGTGAATGCAAGAAACCTT